TATGGTTTGAGGTTTTACATTTAGGTCTCTGATCCGTTTGGAGTTAACCTTTGTGCATGGTGATAGATAGGGGTCCTGTTTCAATCTTCTGCATGTGGTCAGCCAGTAGAAACACTTATTTTTGCATTTACCATTGAGTTAAACAAAAGCATATCTATATTTAGGCATCCACTAAAGGGTTTCTATGTAGGACACAAAGGCAAGAAGGCTGAGAAATTTCTTAAAGGTGAAATTTTATAGATTATGTATTTTCTATCTTTATCTTCCTTTCCCTGTGATTTCTTTCTCTTTTTTTTTTAAACTTTATTGCATTGTATATATTTTTCTAAGATGCCACAAGTCCTTTATGGGGTGAAACAAGAAATAAACAGCCAACCAACAAATAAACGATAATTACACCAACATGAAAGTTAAAGACAGCCTTTAAAATTTTCTTTTAGGCCGGGTGCGGTGCCTCATGCCTATAATCCCAGTACTTTGGGAGGCCAAGATGAGAGGATTGCCTGAGCCCATGGGTTCAAAACTGGCCTGGGCAACTTGATGAGACCTCATCTCTACAGTAAATAAATAAATAGCTGGGCATGGTGGCACGTGCCTATAGTTCCAGCTACTTGGAAGGTTGAGGTGGAGGGATCACCTGAGCCTAGCAGGTCGAGACTGCGGTGGTCGTGAACGTGCCACTGCACTCCAGTCTGGGCAACAGAATGAAACTCCAACTCAAAAAAAAATTTTTCCTTCATAAAGCATCAATTAAACCTGATTTTTTCCTGCACTTAAGTACTTTCCCTTTGTTATTAGAAAAATATATTCAGAACCCTCTATGAGACAGAGTTCTAGCTCAATCTACTGGGTATGACAAAGATACTAACATTCCAAGATGTGTGCTGTGCAGACAAGTACTTACAAGATCAGCATGAGCACGCTGGTGACATGCGTATGAAAGATGAGGAACTCCTATAGAAAAAAAGAAAGCAAATCACTCTATGAAAAAGATACTTGCACATGTATGTTTATTGCAGCACTGTTCACAATAGCAAAATCATGGAACCAACCATGCTGCCCATCGAAAGAGGACTGGATAAGAAAAAAAAAAGTGGTACATATCCACAATGGAAAATTACACAGTCCTAAAGAAGGACAGAATTATGAACTTCACAGCAACTTGGATGGAATTAGAATCTATAATACCGAGTGACCTATCACAGAAACAAAGAATTGAATATCACATGTTCTTACTTATAAGCGGACCCTGAACAATTATCGTAATACTATAAGAAAAGGATTGGCAGTAGTGGGAAACTGCTAGAGGAGGGCAGGGGAGGGACTGGCAGTAACAGGAATCTGTGGTGGGGGGAGGCGGGGAGAAGGGTGGACACAACTCATCAACAAGAGTACATGCATGATGACATTTGTATACATAACCCTGAACTGGACCCCGCATCTTTAAAATAATAAAATAAAAATAAAGAAAAAAGAAAACAGATTAAGTTAAAGTAAAATTCTAGGATACAAATATTTATTTCATTTTATCTGAGGATGTCTTACTTGTGGCTAAAACCAATACAGATTATTTTACATAGGAAACCGGGGATTATTTCCTACTGTGGATAAATCTGTAGACAAACTAGAGTACTGGAGTGGAGACATTACATATCACTAATGTCTGATCCCTTTGCTGATTGCTCAAAGACCTCTGTACAAGAAATAAATATTAACTCAAATTAATCATAAATTGCATTATCCTGTGAGATAAATGCTACTATGAAAAATAAAGATTCTCAGACTGGATAAAACAATTAGACCCATCTACATGAGATTTAATAGAGATACACTTAAAGTGAGGCATGCACCCCATCCTCCACCCTGCACCAGGCTTGCACAGAAAAAGAATATCTGATCGGAGAAGGAGAGGTGTGAGTGATTATAAGATGCTTTGAATCGGTTCACCCCCTCCCAACAGTTTGTGAAATGTCAGTTTCACACTGGGGGAAATCTGGTCTGGATGCAGAGGTTGGTACCAGAGCCCAGGTGGAACAGGGAGCAGATCCCATGTTAGAAGGCCCATCTGAAGAGTGAATCCAGCACCTGGTGGAGCAACAGATCAGCGCCTCTCTTGCAGGGCAAGGCAGAGAGTGGGGATCCAGCTGCCAATTAAAGGAGGCACCCTGAACACGCTTGGAAGGATGAAATAATCCTCAGCAAAAGGAACAAAGTGGGAGGTATCACACTTTCAGATCTTAAACTTTACTACAAGTCTTCAGTAGCCAAAACAACCTGGTATTGGTACAAGAATAGGCACACAGACCAATGCAACAGGACAGAGAATCTAGAAGCAAAAACTTGGTCTCTCAGCCGACTCATTTTCAGCAAAGTTACCAACAGCAACCACTGGGGAAAAGACACTATATTTAGCAAATTGTGCTGGGAAAACTGACCACATGCAGAAGAATGAAACTGTACTCTTACCTATCACCATACACAAAAATCAACTCCAAATAGATGAAAAACCTGAGAGTAAAACCTCAAACTATAAGAATCCTAGAAGAAAATGTAGGAAACACTCTTAGGCACATCAGAGTAGGTGGCCGATTCTTGACCAAATCTCCAAAAGTGAATGCCATAAAAGCTAAGATAGATAAGCGGGACCTCATCAAACTGAAAAGCTTTTGCACAGCAAAAGAAACCATCAAGAAAGCGGGGAGACAACCCACAAAATAAAAAAAAAATTTGCATTGTTGGTGGGAGTGCAAGTTAGTTTACTCTTCATGGAAGGCAGTATGGCAATTCCTAAAAGAACCAAAAATTGACCTTCCATGTGATCCAGCAATCCCTCTCCTGGGAATCCCTCTCCTGACAAAGGCCTAACATCTAGGATCTAGAAGGAACTCAAATGAGCTGAAAGGAGAAAAACAACCCATTAAAAAGTGGGCAAAGAATATGAATAGATACTTTCAAAAGAAGATATACAAGCAACAAACAGCTACATGAAAAAATGCTCAGCTTCACTAATCATCAGAGAGAAATGCAAATCAAAACTACAATGATATACCACCTAACTCCAGTAAGGGTGGCCATCATTAATAAATCAAAAACCAACAGATGCTAGCGTGGGTGTAGAGAAAAGGGAACGCTTCTGAGCTGTTGGTGGGAGTGCAAGTTAGTTTAACCTTCATGGAAGGCAGTGTGGCAATTACTAAAAGAACCAAAAATTGACCTTCCATATGATCCGGCAATCCTTCTCCTGGGGATATACCTGGAGAAACATGAATTGTTCTACAAAAAAGACACCTGCACTCACATGCTTATAGCTGTACTATTCACAATGGCAAAAACGTGAAACCAACCCTACTGCTCATCAAAAGTGGGCTGAAAAAAACATGTACATGATAGAGTATTATGCAGCCATAAAGAAGAACAAAATCACGGACTTTTAACAAACTGGATGGATCTGGAGAATATCATACTTAGTGACCTATTACAGAAACAAAGAACAGAATACTGCATGTTCTCACTCATAAGTGGAACCTTAACATTAATGACATTAGCACAAGGGAAGGATCGGCAGTTCCTAGGCACTGCCAGGGGAGGAAGAGTAGGTTCGTGTCAATATACTTTCCCCTTTACCAGGGAAAGTGAGGATCAGTTGGAGGACCAAACTTCAACTGCATGCTGCCTACTTGTGTAGTTAATCCTTACTTGTTCTTCACATTTCTATAATAAAACAAGTGAGGCAAAATGTATGAAGGACCATACATGTGTAAATATCAGGCAACCCCCACAATAAAGCAATCTACACGTTTCCCAATGAGGAGATTTTTCAAAGTTTTTTGGAGCAAGTTTGGCTATATAAACTTGCAGAATATTGGTAGATATAGTTGTTTAATTCAGTAATTTAGTTTTATGAAGGCATATTTAAAATCATGTTCTATGAAGTAATATATTAATTTAGAAGCATTGCTTTCATAAAGTCACATTTCATGACATAGTTTAAAAGGAAACGTTTTGCTCATGTGGATAAGGTGAAACAAAAAATGGCAGAAGCCCTAAAAGGCATCAAAATTCACTAGTTCAGGCTGGGTGTGGTGGCTCAAGCCTGTAATTCCAGTACTTTGGGAGGCCAAGGTGAGAGGACTGCCTGAGTCCAGGGGTTCGAGACCAGCCTGGGCAACTTGGTGAGATCTCATCTCTACAACAAATAAAAAAAAAATTAGCCAGGCGTGGTAGCTGCAGTTCCAGCTACTTGGAAGGCTGAGATGGAAGGATCGCCTGAGCCCAGCAGGTTGAGGCTGCGGTGGCCATAAACGTGCCACTGCACTCCAGTTTGGGTGACAGAGTGATACTCCAACTCAAAAAAAAAAAAAGAACGAGGTCAAAAAACATTTTGAGCAGTGGAAAAGGGTCTCGGTAGGTGTATTGCATCAAATGGAGAGTACTTTGAAGGTGACTGCACTTAAACATGTAAGATAGTTTTTTATAAATAACTTCCATTTGGGGGGAGACACCCCCCTCATATGTATTCATGTCTCTAAACAATAACATTTTTGGGCCGGGTGCAGTGGCTCACACCTGTAATCCCAGCACTTTGGGAGGCAGAGGTGAGAGAATTGCCTGAGCCTGTGAGTTCAAGACCAGCCCAGGCAAGATGGCAAGATCTCATCTCTACAATAAATAATAAAAATTTTTAAAAACATTAGCTGGGCATGGTGGCTCATGCCTGTAGTTCCAGCTACTTGGAAAGCTGAGGCAAAAGGATCATCTGAGCCTAGCAGGTTGAGGCTGTGGTGGCTGTGAGCAGTGTACCACAGCAGTCTAGCCTGGGTGACAAAGTGAGACTCCAACTCAAAAAAAACCCAAGAACAACAACAACAAACAACAAAATTCTAAATTGCTCTTTTAAGAGCTATTTCAAGGGTTTGTCGATAAGGACATCAAACACTTGCAGCTGTGAGTTCATACCTCGAGGAATAATCACAAGATCCACTTTAAATTTCTATCTTTTTTATCCTTACTGGCAGGCGATCTCTGTAATCATCCACTCTATGGATTGAGGTCATTTCAAGCAATGCATGTTCCCCAAATAGTACTTGTTTTTTCAAAATTAAAAAAAAAAGTGTGAAAACACCATAATTTGAAAGACTTTGTAAGAACTTAGGAAGACTTTTTCTTTTTTGATAGAAAATTTTGTGACGAAAAAAATCTTGCCTTTTATTTGGGAACATATGAAAAGAAGATAGCCAAAGGCATGCCAAGAAAGTAAGTAACAAAATGAAAGCACAGACTGCAATGTTAAGATCAGACAAAATAGAACACAATGAATATTTATTGTGTACATGTTACAATAACACATTTCGCCATTAATTGTCTTGTGCATCCTTTTAGAAAGGAAATGATTTTATTAATTTTAGGGTTACTAGAGGAGTAACACATTACCTGGGGGCATTTTGTTTCTTAGTATTGCAACTTGTCTTTTTGTCTTCTTGGATCTCTGGTGTAAATGAGAATTATTTCCATTTCTTCATGACTGGCATCTTGGTTTGAAAAGGCATCTAATTGGAGGCCAATACAAAAGTTAATTTATAGGTTATATTTCTAGCTGTGAGTCTAAAAATAATCATTACCTGCACATATATGAAAATCAGAAAAACACAAATGAAATATTACTACCTAGTTTTTTAAAAAAACAATAATATAGGAATTCTGCCATAACTCTTTTTCTTTGGAATTGTCACATCATTTATATCACCCAACATCTCAAATTAGGTCCACTAATTTGGTCAACACTGACAAGACAGAGAATTCAGTCCATTTTAAGAAATTACATACTAAGTGTAACAGTCTCCTTTGTATTCTATAACTCTGATTGGTAGAGATTAGAGTTCAGAAGGTAGGCAATGACATTCTTTTTTTTTTCCTCCTTAAAACATGCCCAAACTTGGTATGGGCAAGCGATAACATTCTTGAACATGCCTCCCTGCCTACACACGCAAGAGTTTCTCACACGTGCTATTGAACACGACTAAAGAAAGTCATACAGGCCGGGCTCGGTGGCTCAGTCTGTAATCCCGCGCCTTTGGGAGGCTGAGGTGAGTGGATTGCCTGAGCCCGCGGGTTCGAGACCTGACTGGGCAGCGAGACCTCATCTCTACAATAAATCAAAAAATCAGCCGGGCGTGGTAGCACATGTCTGTAATTCCAGCTACTTGGAAGGCTGAGGTGGAAGGATCACCGAAGCTCGGAAGGCTGAGGCGGAAGGATCGCCGAAGTCCAGCAGGTCGAGGCTGCGGTGGCTGGGAGCGGCCACTGCACTCCAGTCTGGGCGACAGAGTGAGACTCCAACTCAAAAAAAAAAAAAAAAAGAAAGTCATACAAACAATCTTGACAGTATCACAACTTAAATTCAGGATCATGGCCCCTGAGTGGCCTGTATTAGTGCTGCATACACCGTCTCCCTAGTCTGTTCACTCTTCCACCTCTCCTGTGTGACAGTCTCCCACTTCCTTCTCTCTACTTGACCTCCAACAACTAGAAATCTCGCTTATCTTCACTCTCAGGTCAAGAGCTAACCTTGCTTTCTAACTCAAGAGGAAACATTAAGACAATTTTGAGAGTCCTTCCAGGATTCCTACTCCAAAATCTGCCACCTACCAACACCTGAACCTACAGAGAGTGCCATCGCTCATGTTACTACAAACCTTCCCACTCCTACCCAAAGTGAACCTTTCTAGTTGTGCAGTAACTTAGATCAAGGACATCACTACAGCGTGCTATTTTTTCCCCACTTAAAAACAACAACTTCTATTAGACTTATGAATTATTGTTCAGGTTCTCTCCTGCTCTTGAGACAAATTTCCTTAAAAAATTGTCCAAACTTGCTAGCTCTAATTCGTCTCCTCCCATCTTTTGCCTCCCCTTATTTTTAAGGATTTCTTTTAAGAATTTGATTTAAACTTATTTTATAATTGTCTGACAGACTGGGTAATTCATAAAGAATGGAATCTATTTTCCACCGTTCTGGAGGTTGGAAGTCCAGGATCAACGCAAAGGCATTTGGCATCTGGTGAGGGCTGCATCCTTGGGGGTGGTGGGGAGGATGTCCTCATAGGGCAGCAGGTAGAAGGGAAGGGGGAAATAAGCCTTCTGTCCAGCCCTTTTATAAAGGCACCTAATCCCATTCTAAGGGAGTCATGTGCCTTGTGACCTAATCACCTCTTAAAGCCTCACCTCTTAATACTATCACATTGGCAACACCTGAATTTTGGAAGGTGTATGCATTCAAACCATAGCAATAATTACATCAAACACTGAAAGATGGCTGGGCATATTGGCTCATGCCTGTAGACTCAGCACTTTGGGAGGCCAAGGTGGGAGGACTGCTTAAGCCCAGGAGTTTGGGACCAGCAACATAGCAAGACCCCATCTCTATTTTTTAAAAAAATGACAGATTCCAGTGTCAAAACTATAAAACAAGGTACACTTAGAAAGGTCTAATTTTCCTCTTTATCCTTTCTGCCCTATTCCCTCTCTCCCCCATAGATAACCATTTTCATTAGTTTTTGTTTGTTCTTCTATTATGTTTATCTGTGTGTATATATATATGTATAAAAGCAAATATATATTCATATTATCTCCCTTTCTTGGATCAAAATAGCTTATATCAATTATAATATATTGTTCTGCATCTTTTTTCCCCCATCCAAAAAATACACCCTAAAAAATCACCCCATTACAGCATGTAGATGGTCTTTTTTTTTTTTTTTTTTTTTGAGTTGGAGTTTCACTCCGTTGCCCAGACTGGAGTGCAGTGGCCGCTCCCGGCCACCGCAGCCTTGATCCACTGGGCTCTGGCGATCCTTCCACCTCAGCCTTCTGAGTAGCCAGAATTACAGGCATGCGCTACCATACCCGGCTGATTTTTTGATTATTGTAGAGATGAGGTCTCGCTGCCCAGGCGGGTCTTGAACCCACGGGCTCAGGCAATCCACTCACCTCAGCCTCCCAAAGGCACGGGATTACAGGCTGAGCCACCGAGCCCGGCTGTAGATGGTCTTTTTACAACCAGTTCCCTCTTGATGAGCATGTGGATCATTTCTACCTTTTTCCTGTTACAAAAAGAGCTACAGTGAATAGCCTTAAGCGTGTGTCTTTTTGTATTTTTGCCAGTGTAACTTTGAAAGAGATTCCTAGCAGTGGATTGCCGGGCCAAAGGGTAGATGTAGATGAATTTTGCTAGAGATTGCCAAAATCCCCTCTATCCATAAGATATGTAGAAGTTATATCTTTATTTTATTTTATTCTTTTGAGTTGGAGTCTCACTCTGTTGTCCAGGCTAGAGTGCAAAGACACGCTCACAGCCACCGCAGCCTCCACCTGCTGAGCTCAGGCAATCCTTCCGCCACTGCCTTCCAAGTAGCTGGAACTACAGGCATGTGCCACCACACCCAGCTAATTTTTTGATTTATTGTAGAGATGAGGACTCACCATTTTGCCCAGGCTGGTCTCAAAACCATGGGCTTAGGTAATCCTCTTACCTTGGCCTCTCAAAGTGCTGGGATTATAGATGTGAGTCACCATGCCCAGCAGAGAAGTTATATCTTAACTGCATGCTCACTAGCAATGTATGAGAGTATCTATTTTCTTACAGCCTTGCCAACAGAGTATGTTGTTAAATTTGTGGATTTATGCCAATCTGATAGGTGGGAAATGCTATCTCGGTTTAGCTTTAATTTGCATTTCTCTATTTTTTTGGAAAACATTGCACACATGATATAGATACATTGGGAGCATTTTAAATTTTTCTTTAAAAATTAAACTTATTATTTTGAGATAATTGTAGGTTCACATACAGATGAATCAACAGATTCTAACAATTTAGAATCTATAGATTCTAAGAAATGTAGAATCTAAATTTTAAATCTGTAGATTCTAAGAAAGATTCTGACAGAGAGACACCTTTATCCAGTTTCCCTTAAGGGTAGCATCTTGCAAAACTCCAGTATAACCAGGATAGTGACATTGATATAGTCAAGGTAGACATTTTTTTTCATCACTACACGAATCCTTCACATTGCCATTTGTAGCCACACCTACCTCCTTCCTACCCCTTTTTAGACTCTGGCAGCCACTAACCTGTTCTCCATTCCTATAATTTTATCATTTAATCTCAAGAATATTCAGTAAATGGAATCATACAGTATGTAACATTTTGAGATTGACTTTGTTCACTCAGTATAATTCTCTGGAGGTTCATCCTGGTTGTTTTATGTATCAATAATTTGTTCTTTTTTATTGTAGAATTGTATTCCATGATATGAATGCACCACAGTTGTTTTACCGTTCACCTATTAATGGACATCTGGGCTGTTTCCAACTTTGTGATATTATGAATAAAGCTGCTGAAAGCATTCATATACATATTTCTGTGTTGAGCAAAGGTCTTCATTTTTCTGCAAAAAATGTGCAAACGTGCAATTGCTGGGTTGTATGGTAACTGCATATTTAGTGGGTTTTTTTGTTTGTTTGTTTGTGTTTTATGGAGTTGGAGTCTCACTCTGTCGCCCAAACTGGAGTGCAGTGGCCGCTCCCGGCCACCGCAGCCTCGACCTGCTGGGCTCCGGTGATCCTGCTGCCTCAGCTTTCCGAGTAGCCAGAATTACAGGCACGCGCTACCACGCCCGGCTAATTTTTTGATTTTATTGTAGAGATGAAGTCTTGCCAAGTTGCCCAGGTGGGTCTCGAACCCGCGGGCTCAGGCAATCCACTCACCTCAGCCTCCCAAAGGCACGGGATTACAGGTTGAGCCACCGAGCCCGGCTTATATTTCGTGTTTTAAAAGAAACTGCCAATCTTTTTCAGAGTGGCTGTGACATTTGCATTCCCACCAACAATGTATGTATGATCTAGTTTCTCTGCATCCTTGCCAGGATTTGGTGTTGTCACTATTTTTTATTTTAGCCATTCTGATAGCTGTGTAGTGATAGCTTGCTGTGGTTTTGATTTGCATTTCCCTACTGGCTATTGGACAACCTTTCATTAACTTGTCTGACCTCTGTAAATTCTCTTCAGGGAAATACCTCTTCATGTCTTTTGCACATTTCTAACTGTGTATATACCGGGAGTGCTGAAAAATGTATACACATTTGCTCAAAAAATGGCATTAATCAAATGAATGCTAGCATCACCATGCAATGGACAGGACAGTAGAATCGGCCGGTGCAACCATCTTCCAAGTATGACTTGTCTTCATCTCTTGCTATTGGTATATGTTGAGTGTGTATATATATGTGTTAAGTAATACAATCAGTATATATTATTACAATTTTAATAGTTTTTCCTTTCTTAAAATATGTATACTGTTTTTGGCACCCTCTGTATACAGGAAAGGAAAAGCTGTATTAAAATTGAAATACTCAATATATACCAATAGCAAAAGATGAATACAAATCACGTTTGACTTCTGCAATTACAAGAGGTGCTCAAAGTGGTTGCCATCAGAGTCCAGACTCTTCTGACTACAGTGAACTGAAAATAATACATAGATAGCATCACTTAAAATGTGTATGTATATTTTTGGCACCCTGGTATATATTTACTGTTGAGCTTTGAGTGTTCTTTACACTACGGACACAAATTATTTGTCTGATATGGGACTTGTAAATACTGTCTCCCAGGCTGTAGTTTATCTGAATTAGGTTTCTTCTCAGAACAAAAGTTCTAAAAATTTTGATGAAGTCTACCTTATCAATTTTTCCTTTTATGGATTATGTTTTTGGTGTCAAGACTAAGAACTATGTTTAACTCTTAATCTCAAATAATTTCTCTTTTCTAACAATTTCATAGGTTTAAATTTTGCATTAAGTCCATGATCCATTTTGAGTTAGTGTCTTATAAGGTATGAGGCTTAGGTTAAGGTTTATATTTCTTTCTGTGGATGTTGAATTACTCTGGTATCATTTGTTGAAAAAGTGATCTTTCCTCCTTTGAATTCCCTTTGCCTCCTTTTCAAAATCAGTTGGGAATATTTGTGTGGGTCTTTTTCTGGGCTCTCCACTTATCTATCCATTCCTCTGCCAACAGCACAGTCTTGATTACTGTAGCTGTAAAACAAGCCTTGAAACCAAGTAGATGATTCATCTCTTTGGTCTTTTTAAAAATTGTTTTAGCTAGTCTAGATCCTTTTACTGTCTATGTAAATCTTAGCATAATCTTGTATATATCAAAATTCTTGCTGAGATTCTGATAAAAATTGTGTTAAACCTGATTATCAGTTTGGGAAAAACTGACATCTTTACTATGTTGAGTCTTCCAATCCATGAACACTGATCTTCTTTTATTTAGATGTTTTTGGTTCCTTCCATCAGCATTTTGTAGTTTTTGGCATACAAGTCCTGTACATGTTTTATTAGATTTACATCTATTTCATTTTGGGGGGAGGCCTTTGTAAGCAGTATTGTATTTTAAGTCTTGGTTTCTATGTCTTTATTGCTAGTACGCAAGTGATTTTTGTATGTTTATTTTGCATTCTGTTACCTTGCTTAACTCACTTATGGTTTCAGGAGATTAGCTGTAGATTCCTAGGAATTATCTTCATAGACAATCATGTCTTCTTCAAATAGGATATCCTGTTTTAGCTACCCATAGAAGCTTTATATTTTAATAAGAATGTTGTGACTTTTTAAAAAGTGGAACAAAATTTTTACCTAGACAATTTGAGACATCATACGGTGTCTGAGAATTTACCAAGCTAAGAATAAATGCTTTATGTAAGCATGAAAGCAGAAAAATATTGCTTAACTAGATAAACAACAACAATAGCAACTACACACATACGAATGCATATATGCGTATATCTAATCGATCTATCAGTTCTGTTCTACTTCTGAGAAAGCAGATAACAATCTCCTCACTTTTTGTCATCTCATTTTCCTGCACCATATTCTTGTTTCCTCCTTTGCTTCCCCAGTCTTCCCTCTGAAACCCAAGTGCTGAATGGATTAGAAGTGTACATGCGGAAGACAAGGCTGTAAATAAAAATTTCCCCACACTCTGTTTAAGTCAAAACACAAGGGCTACACCAAGGCACAACTCTTTTTCAACTACCAGTGTACGATGGAGAAGGAAGTCACTCCAGATACTAAAAAAATCAAAATTCTGGCTGGGAGCAGTGGCTCTCACCTGTAACCCCCGCACTTTGGGAGATGAGGTGAGACTGCCTGAGCTCAGGTGTTTGAGACCAGCCTGGGAAACTTGGTGAGACCTCATCTCTACAATAAATAATAATAATAAATCAAGCCGGGCTTGGTGGCTCAGCTTGTAATCCTGCGCCTTTGAGAGGCTGAGGTGAGTGGATTGCCTGAGCCCGTGGGTTCGAGACCTGCCTGGGCAACTTGGCGAGACCTCATCTCTACAATAAATCAAAAATCAGCCGGGCGTGGTAGCGTGTGCCTATAATTCCAGCTACTCGGAAGGCTGAGGCGGAAGGATCGCCGGAGCCCAGCAGGTCGAGGCTGAGGTGGCCGGGAGTGGCCACTGCACTCCAGTCTGGGTGACAGAGTGAGATTGCAACTCAAAAAATAAAAATAAAAATAAAAATAATAAATTAGCCGGGTGTGGTGGCACACGCCTATAGTTCCAGCTACTTGGAAGGCTGAGGCAGAAAGGATTACTTGAGTCCAGCATGTTGAGAATGTAGTAGCTGTGAATATGCCACTGCACACCAGCCTGAGCGACAGTGTGAGTGACTCTGACCAAGGGGGGAAAAAAATCACTATGTCCACCCTATGGTCGAACACTCACAGACTATTAAACGAATACTCCCGCATGTGCTTCTTAATTAGAATCAGGTTTAAAAACTTGTGCCTGTGTCAGCATGTAGCTTTGTCACTTACCAGTCTGGCAAATGAAATAATGTTTCACTGAGCATATGTCACTTTTGGATGAGATCTGATCGAAGTTTCTGGACATGTAGGTGCAGCTGGTAGGCTTTGTGGCCTGGGGGGCTGCAACACCTGCTAAGGGAAGACCAGATTCAGGTGAGCCTCATAAGCACAAGTCAGACATTTTTTTAAAAAAGTAAATATAAAAACCAAAATTGACTGGCTTCCAACAGATGAAAATTTAGAATAGCCCCCCATATATTATAGATTGTTTATATTTTCATATGTGTTTTTTAATCACAAGGCTTAGTATTACTTTACCTAGACATTAATGAATATAAGGATGATATTATAATGCCCTGGCTTTTTCTCTAAAACTTCAAGATTATGGTGCATAATTTTGAAAATACTATGTAAAAATGACAATAGGTAAGATAATCTTTCTCCTAGTTTTTGCGTTAGGAAATTGGAGCTCAGAATAATGTAGAGATGTGGATTAGGGAAAAAAATGACCACAAAAGGTTTCCCTTTTTAGAATCTAGCACAGTTCCTTTAGTAAAACATCAGGTATCTCAGCCTCTGAGAAAAATCTCATCTTCATTACACAGACAAGACAAAGGCTGTAGCACAAACTGGAAATATTTCAGAGCAATGACAGTAATGAAGTGACTAATTTTTCTGTATACAAAAGCAGAAAGATTAAAAATGATTTTATTTTTCTTGTCTCCTAGAATAAGATGTAAGGAAGTTTCCTTCATAAACACTAAACCCCAGAGCCTTACCTGGAGGGGGTTTTCCTTGATGCTTTTTTGGCAGCATTAAATTTTGTCCAATCCACCACTTCTTTCCTTCTTCCAGTGAGTCCCAGAGGAGATCTTGAACTTCCTGGTTCCATATATAAGCAAGGTGTCCTCTCTGGGCATGACAGTAATTTTCTGCTTCCTCAAAGCTGCAGTGAAATATGTTAAGCTGGTAAAAGTTATTTTTCACCAGTTGTTCTGGGCTGTTTAGCTCACTTCCTAGAATGATACTTGTTCTGATGTATAACCAAAGCCAGGTTCTTCCTTTGAAGAACATTTTCTCTGAACTGTAGCAAGAAAAAGTGTAGGGATTCAGCAACAGCCTGGCCCTTTAACTATGTATCTTGGTGGGTTTGTCTTATTGGTATTATTTTATGAATTTGAACAGTTGAACAAGGAGACAAAAGGTTTGGTTTTGAGGATCCAGGTGTAGTTCCTACAGGCTGAAAACAAATAGCAGAGATCAATAAAGCAATGGACCTTTATAGCTGGGGCCCTGTCAGCTGTGTCTACACACTGGCTATGCCTTAGCAAATAAAGACCTATTACAAAGCTAAGTCTAAGCAGTAGGGGGTAGAGGATGATGGGTATCTAAGTCAGTGCTGCTAACAATCAATATGTGTGCTTTTAAAAATGTAAACAACCATTCTTGCAGTTTTTTGTTTTTAGATTGGATCTCACGCTGTCATCCAGGCTGGAGGGCAGTGGCATGCTCACAGCCACCACATCCTCGACCTGCTAGGCTCAGGCAAGCCCTCTGTCTCATCCTTCCAAGTAGCCAGAACTACAGGTATGCACCACCATGCCTGGCTAATATTTTTATTTTGTAGAGACGAGGTCTCGCCAAGTTGCCCAGGCTGGTCTTGAACTTATGGGCTCAGACAATCCTCTTGTCTTGGCTTCCCAAAGTGCTGGGATTACAGACATGAGCTATCACACCTGGCCAGGATTGGTTTTTTTTAAAATTGATTTTATAGTGTATAGTTAATGTGTACAACATGATGTTATGGGATACATATAGATAATAAGAAGGTTACTATAATAAAGCAAATTGACATATGCATCATCTCACATATTTACCCATTTTTTTTGGTGGCAAGAGAAGCTGAAATCTCATTTAGTATAAATCCTATATATAATACAATCTTATTACCTATAGTCCAATTAATTTACATTAGATCTCTAGACTTGTTCATCCTACATATCTGCTGCCCCTAGAATTGATTTAGGTTATTATATTGTTTCTTAAACGCATTCAAACAAAACTAGGCATAAACTCTGTCCTAAAGCTCTTACATAATCATAAAAACCAAGTAGTAAACATCTAATAGAAGAATGAATACAAATTAAACACATACAGAACTAAAAAACAATGAAATCCAAATTTTGCTGAGCTAGATAGCAGATAAACTTGGTTCTGGCCTATGACTACACAGGTTCCTTTGAATTTGGCATGCATGCTGTTTTACGCTATGAAGATTCAGTTCTCTCAGCACTTTGTTTTGCTGAAAACCTTTGTACATACAGTGGGTCATCTGTTCTACACCTGTTGCACACGCACCATTTATGTACTACAGCTTGTTCTTTCTTACTGCCAAAAAGTGATCATAAACGCAAACAAATGTGGGCACCGAAATTGCTTGGCAAGTGTCAGGTCTAAGATGGTTATCTCAAAGGTCCAAATGATGCATACGTTTTTAAAAAATCATTATGGAAGTGGCCATCAAAATTTAAAATTCTCTAAAGCAAGAATACATCCCTCAGTTTTACTGTAGTAATCAAATGAAAGATAAATATAGTAAGATTCCCACTTTCCAAAAGTCTAATTAGGAAGAAAAGATGTAATAACTGTAATCAATGAAGATAGTAAAAAATACCAGCATTGAAGGACAGCTTAAGTGCTATGATGGTTCAGATGAGGGAGAAATTATTCCCAGCCTTCGAGTTGAACATGCAAGGATGCCATATTTGGACAGATAAAAAGGACATCTCTGCAGAGGAGCCAATGTGCGTAAATGAACAAGAGAAACAATTCTGTGTATGTGTGTAAGAGGATACTTGGTGGGACAGCAGTGGGAACTGCCACGAGAATATGAGACTGTTTGAATGCCAGGATAAAGGACTTGTGGCTTATTTGGAAGTTTCCTGAGTATTCCATCCTTACAAGACTGTGTTGCAATAGAATCATTTGGGTGAAGGGTGCTTTGTTTTTAAAGTTCAGGTGGGGTGTGGTGGCTCATGCCTATAATCCCAGCACTTTGGGAGGCCAAGGCAGGAGGGTTGTTTGAGACCAGGAGTTCAAGACCAGCCTGGGAAATGTAGTGAGACCCAGTCTCTTATACCACATCTATATCTATATATTTTGAATTGGAGTCTCACTCTCACACAGGCTGGAGTACAGTGGCATGCTCACAGCCACCGCAGCCTTGACCTGCTGGGCTCAGGCGATCCTTCTGCCTTAGCCTTCCAAGTAGCTGGAACTACAGGCATGTGCTACCACGCCCGGCTCATATATATGTTTTAAGCATTTTTAAGTGAAGCCTGGTGTGGATGAAATCTTCCCTGAAAATCAACTCAGGTATTTTACACAGTGCTATATTTCATTTCAACCCTTTTCATAGTACTTGATATATACTCTTGCAATACATGCTTTGTCTAGAATACAAGCACTCTTATCAACGAAAGTTTTAGTTTGAAAGATTGGTGACAGGATGCTTAGAACTGAAGAATCAACATTTAAATAGTTGTTTGTCCAGGATGGGTAATAATTTATGTTGACCAATTAAATTATGCTTAGTTAAATTAGTTCATTAAGGTATTAAAAGGAAGATGGGTTGTAAGCATAATTTTTACCTTAATATTTCCAGTTTCTTATACTGTATGTAGCCTGAAACACCTAATATGTGAATTATTGAAGCAGAATCTGTTAAGTCTCAGTTGGAACTATGACTTTATTCCAATTTGATATCTTCATACAACTGATGAAGTTCAAAAATGGCTTAAGATGTTTCTTTTTTTTTTTTTTGAGTTGGAGTCTCACTCTGTCGCCCAGACTGGAGTGCAGTGGCTGCTCCCGGCCACCGCAGCCTCGACCTGCAGGGTTCAGCCTTCCAAGTAGCTGGAACTACAGGCACGCACTACCACGCCAGGCTGATTTTTCATTTATTGTAGAGATGAGGTCTCACCAAGTTGCCCAGGTGGGTCTCGAACCCGCAGGCTCAGGCATTCCACTCACCTCAGCCTCTCAAAGGCGCGGGATTACAGGGTGAGCCACCGAGACCGGCGGCTTAAGATGTTTCAAACACACTCCCTCTTTTGTTCTATTTTCTGCTATGACAATATCCCAGGGGATTCAGCTGATGTAAGGAGTAATACAATTTGCTTCAAACGACATGCATGGGTGTAGAGCCTCCAAATAAGTATATGATTCATGCTGTTGAGAGAGTCCACAGAAGCCATCTCCAACAGCCAGAATATCATTAGGCAAGAGATTTCAAAATTCTTGATGGGGACACAATTGCTCCAGAGCACTGTAAAGTGACAAACTAGGTCAGCATGAATCACTGCAATATGCCACACTCTAACAGAACTACACACTCAGGGTCTTGATTCGAAAGTGTATTTTAAAAAAAAATCTCCATCTCTGTTGCACCAGAACGTCAAGGCCTTATCTGATAGGCACAATAAGTGAAGGGCCAAGGGCCCCGCGACACTTCTAGGGGATCAAGCAAATGGTTTAGTTATTCTTTTAAAATCTGAACAAAAACAAACTTTTAAGTAGAAAAACGCTTAGAAATTAACACATTGATCTTTATATCATCATAGCAGTAAGACTTATTTTCAAAATTGACAAAAACCCATGAATATTTATGCTGTAAAACACGATGTGTCGACGTATGTATACACTGTAAAGTGTACTTTTTTTCAGGAAGGGGCCCACGAAAATCACAACGCAGCCCTGGCATAGACAACCGTTGGGGGCCTTAAGACTGTAACTTCCTTTCTTCGAAAGGACTGGGAAGCAAAGGGCCGGTGGTGACAGCCCCTCCCGGGGGCGGGAAGTCTTGCAGTTATGATTTCAACTGCTTTGGGCACCTCAGAGGAGTCCGCTCGCCACTTCAGCGGCTTCTGGAAGCCTTTTCTTCCTCAGGGAACCTCGATTCCTTTCGGACTCTCGGATTCGGAGTTGCGGGACTGCAAACCCTACAAGAGACAGCATGAGCGCCAATCACCCTCAGCTACCCAGAGCGCGGGTGGCTGGGCAGGCTGGCGGGCGGAAGAGGCGTGGCGGACACGACTGCGCACGCGCACGAGTGTCCAACCAGAGTCACGAGTCGGAGCGGAGCTTCACCGCCACGGAGGCGCCCGCCCTGCCCTCCTGCTCGGCGATTGGTGAGTTGGCGGCGGCTACCGCCGTCTCCTCCAATGGAAGCGAGACAGGGGCGGGCCCGTGGGGCAGGGAGCATGGCGTGGAGACAGCTGAAAGTGAGTTCCGCAAGTGAGGCTTGCTACGGCGAGGAGTCCGGGAGCGGAGGGGAGAATGGAAGGGGGGCTAAGGCGGGCGAAGTGATCAGCAGGCGGCTCCAAGCGCGTGGACTCTTTGGGACGCTTGTGTGTTTCTGGGGGCATTTGCAAAAATTCGTGCGTGTGCATTTTCACGTGTACTCTGCCGGGTGTATGCCGAGAGCGCATGCGCTGCCGCGTAGCCGCTCTTGTGTTAGTGCTTTGGGCCATAATTTTGAGCCTTGCACTGGGGCTCTTAGTGAGCACACAGCCGCCTAGCATTGTGTGCGCGATCCAACGCGGAGTGAAATTAGAATAAGACGTGGTCCCAACCCTTGTAGATAAAGGTTTTGTTAGGGCAGAAACTCTCAGTGACTAGTTGTTGTACCCCAGGATCTGGTGTGTAGTATCAAATATTTGTTGATTGGTCTGAGGGGCGTTCTTCCAATCTCCAGGAGGAGACTCAAGGGAGGCAACAAATACTTGATTAACAGCTTGGAAGGATCCTTAAAAGCAAAAGCAAATCTGATCCTGGTTTAGGGAACAAAACTCAACTCTATTCTAACCAGAACTGCTCACTTATTTTTCCTGTCTCGTCTCATTTATTTATTTATTTTGAGTTAGAGTCTCACTCCGTCGCCCAGGCTAGAGTGCAATGTTACACTCAGGGCCACCCCAGCATCAACCTGCTGGGCGCCTCAGTCTTCCAAGTAGCCGGAACTACAGGCTTGTGATTCTATGCCCGGCTAATTTTCTTTTTTTTTTTTTTTTTGGTAGAGATGAGGTCTCGCCCGGGCTGGTCTCCAGCTTGTGGGCTCAGGCAGTCCACTTGCCTTGGCCTCCCAAAGTGCAGGGATTACAGGCTGAGCTACCGAGCCCGGCCTCTCTCCTGTCTCATCTTAAGCCTTGCTTGTCTTCACTTCTCAGTTCTGAAATTTCTCCCCTTCTCATTCTCACTGAGAGAGCCTTTAAACTTTTTGCTCCCCATAAAAAAGCCTCTCCTTTTTGTTTTATTTATTTATTTTTTTGAGTTTGAGTGTTACTCTGTCGTTCAGGCTGGAGTGTAGTGGCATGCTAACAGCCACCGCAGCCTCAACCTGCTGGGCTTAGGTGGTCCTTCTGACTCGGTCTTCCAAGTGTCTGGAACTACAGGCACACACCACCATGCCCAGCTACTTTTAAAAAATTTATTGTAGAGATGAGGTCTCACCAAGTCGCCCAAGCTGATTTTGAACCTCTGGACTCAGGCAGTCCCCTCACCTTGGCCTCCCAGAGTGCTGTGATTATAGGCGTGAGTCACTGCGCCTGGCCCTCATTAAAATTTTTTGTTTTGTTTTTTGAGTAGGAGTCTCGCTCTGTCACCCAGGGCTGAAGTGTGGTGGCACGATCATGGCTCACCACAGTCTTGATCCTGGGCTCAGGTGACCTTCCCACCTCAACTTCCCTAGTAGCTGGGACTGCAGGCCAGTCTGGACAACATAGCAAGACCTCACATCTACAAAAAACAATTAAAAAAATTAGTCAGGTATGGTGGCTGCACTTGTAGTCCCAGCTACTTGGGAGGCTGAGGCAGGAGGATTGCCTGAGCCCAGGAGGTCGAGGCTATGCTGAGTGGTGAGCCGTGCTACTGCACTCCAGCCTGGGTGAAAGAGTGAGACCCAGACTTCAGGCTCTTTAGGACCTGAAGAGTGTAAGCAGAAGTGCAGGTATAGCTTTAGGCTGTTAAAGGCCAGTGTGAGAGCCAGGAATGAGCTTCCACAGAAAGCTAGAGATATAGCCTCTTAGGTTAAAAATCCCAGCAGGGCTCCAAATGTTAGTTCAGGCCCGATGGTGAGGTGAGGTGGGGTGGGGGAGTGTCTGGTCTGTGATCTGGTGTCCCATGAAAGATGCAAAGAATTGCACAGAAGTTAGATTGGAAAATATAGTTTACTTAGAAAGTAAACTGTAAAGAGAGAGAAAATTCACCTTCCCATGGTAGGGGAGGGGGCCAAGGCTAGGAAACACGGCCAGACCAGTGCTTAGCAAGGCAATAGCAAATGACTCCTTTTAAACTTTCTGTTTTGGTTTTTTTTTTTGAGTTGGAGTCTCACTCTGTCGCCCAGACTGGAGTGCAGTGGCCGCTCCCGGCCACCGCAACCTCGACCTGCTGGGCTCCGGCGATCCTTCTACCTCAGCCTTCCGAGTAGCCAGAATTACAGGCATGCGCTACCATGCCCAGCTGATTTTTTGATTTATTGTAGAGATGAGGTCTCGCTGCCCAGGCGGGTCTCGAACCCACGGGCTCAGGCAATCCACTCACCTCAGCCTCCCAAAGGCGCGGGATTACAGGCTGAGCCACCGAGCCCGGCTTAAACTTTCTCTGATGGGGGAAGGCTGTTAAGGTGATTGGGTGGTGGTCTGGTTCATATCATCACGAAGGGCAGGTAAGCACAGGTACTGAGGTCAGATGGACCAGTGGACCAGTCGCTTGACTGCTGCCATGATGATGGGGTCTGTGTCATGAAGTGTCCTGAAGGGCTGATTAGGTCAGCTTGTTTACAAAACAAGCTGGGGAAGGCTTGTAAAGCAATTATCAGTAGCTGCTTCTGAGAAACCGGTTCTGTCCTTGGCTAGTGATTAGAGAGCAGACTAGGTAACTTTCTTAGAAAACATGACAGAACTAGTTAGTGCCAAAATGGCTGCTGATTGGGCATACTGACTTCATATTATGTCTTTTCATAGCTCATGTTATATGTCATTATGTCCTCTGTATGCCTGGGTGGGAAGGGCTGAGAGAGGGTGCTGCAGCCTGACCTGGTGGGAGTCCTCCCTAATAGGCTCTTTCTTTCAGAAGCGGGTCCAGGATGCTGTGGCCATTCTGGGGGGTGGAGGACTTCTCTTTGCCTCCTACCTGACAGCCACGGGGGATGAGCATTTTTATGCCGAATACCTGATGCCAGCTCTGCAGAGGTTGCTGGACCCAGAGTCAGCCCACAGACTGGCTGTTCGCTTTACCTCCTTGGGAATTCTTCCTCGAGCCACATTCCAAGACTCTGACATGCTGGTAGGTGCTCTTGGAACATCCTGTGCATTAAATATAAGGGTGGAGATCAAAATTCCCTTATACTTCTCAGCTGGGACTGGTCCTTTTGAAAACCAGAGCCCCAAGTTAGCAATGGGAATCTGGAGTTCCATCTGAGCAATAGTAATTATTTTTATTGCATATGGTATATATTATATAATTACTTGATAATAACAAGGATATGCTGCTTCTGTGGAACTTGTTTTAGGCAGTGTTCTCATTTAGTCCTCACAACTACTTCATAAGCTAGGCCCTGTTATCCCTATCTACAGATGAGTAAACTGACATAGTTAAGTGACTTGCCCAAGGTCACACAGCCAGCAAGTGGCAGAACCAGAGTTCAAACCCATGGAGACTGGCTCTGACATCTGTCCCCTCAGCCACTAGCTTGCCTTGCTGAGTTCTCAGGTAGCGTAGTCTTCTCCTCTGCTAAATGGGGAATGCGAGTCATTAAGCATCAAGTGTGCCAGGTGTGCCTAGTAAAGCACTTTGAAGAAGGCATGCAAACACCTGTCCCAGCCTCATTCAGCAATTCAGCACGTGGGCCCTCACCAGATGCCCTTACTGTACTGTGTTCTGACTCAGCAAACAAAATAGAAGGATCCACGTCCTGTGGAACCTGTATCCTCATGTAAGCCGTGGCAGTTTCCTTTTGAGAGACTGCCTACCAGAGGAGGATATCAGAATGATTTGAACATGAAAACACACACAAACACTCAGAACCTTTGGGAGAAGGGTCACTATTATAAATTAAAGGGGCCCTTCTCCACATTTCCTGTTTATCTTAGATACCTTTTCACTTTTCATCGTACAGTTTTGAGCAGATGTGTCATTTTACCTGACTTGCTATATGTAGACACGAAAAGGAACTACAGGAGCAGAAAGCCTTCCTTTCTTTAAGCCTTCCTCATGCAAAACTGCTGATTTGAAAGCTCTTGAACCAGTGTAAAATGGGAGTGAGTAATGAGCAGGAAGTGGAGATGGGTGAATTTGGAAGGAAGCAAGGTAGGCATGGGGTGGTACAAAGCTATGTCTGTGTAAGTACAGGCTACAGGGAGCACACGCAGCCTTTGAAGCAGCTCATTTAGAATGTGGTTCAGACTTCTTTTTTTTGAGTTGGAGTCTAACTCTGTTGCCCAGGCTGGAGTGCAGTGGCACACTCATGGCCTCCGCAGCCTCAACCTACTGGGCTCAGGTGATCTTTCCGCCTCAGTCTTCCAAGTAGCTGGAACTGTAGGCATGTGCCACCATGCCCGGCTAACTTTTTGATGTATTGTAGAGACGAGGTCTCGCCAAGTTGTCCAGGTTGGTCTCGAACCCATGGGCTCAAGCAATCCTCTCACCTTGGCCTCCCAAAGTGTTGGGATTATAGGCATGAGCCACCACACCCAGTCAATTCAGAGTTAATTGACAGCCAGGATGCTTGATAGTCTCACCCCAGCTAAACTTTCTTGTCCTTGAGTCCTAGGTTAGGACTGTGTGTTAGAATTCCCTGGGTGTGCCTTTGAAATATTCAGATGTTCGGCCTTGTACCAGACCAATTTAACCATTTTGAGAGGGAAGCCTGAAGGCTCTTCTGGAGCTTCTATCACACAGCTAGGGTTGAGAATTGCTATCCTTGAGGAAGGCCCCTGGCCCAGCCACACTTCCTGCCTCATGGTTCCCTGAGATGCTGTGCACACGTTCTCACCTGCATTTGTTGTTGTTCTCCTTTCTTGGAGCATCTTTCTTACCTCCTGTCTCCGGGATCAGAGGACCCTTGAATGGTCCTCTCAAAGGTTGCTGGAGCATGGGCTTTCAATTGTTTCAATTCTGTCCAGCTGAACACTTCTTTCCTCTGGTTCCCCATGGGAGTCAGTGGGCCATTGCTGGGGTTTCTTGTCAGCCCGAAGAGGGATACAGCTGGAGCTGATTGTATTAAGCTGATTAAAGGGTTTTGCTACTTGATGCTACCTGCTTTCAGAGAAGCACTATCTAGGGCCTGACACCAATGAACCACTCTCTCCCACCAGGGACAACAGACAAGGAGGTATGAATCTTAACCATAATTGGAAAAGATAGTGCCCGTCTCCTGTTCAACCTAGGGTGGAAACACATTTTCTCTCCAGGCTTGATCATGATAAAGCCTTGTCGTTTTCAAAGTCTAGCAGGCATCACAGTCAACTGGAGAGAACTGTTAAAAATGGGTTCCCTCAGTGCTCCATCCCCTCCCCAGCAAAGATTCTGATTCTGTCATCTTGGAGCTGGGCCGTGCAAACTGATGTTTCACAAGTTCCCAGGTAATTCTGTTGTAAGTCTGCCTGGGACCATACTTTGAGAAATACCAGCATAGCCTTGTGTACCTCTGACTTTGTATTCCTCTTCCCAGGAAGTGAGAGTTCTGGGCCATAAATTCCGAAATCCAGTAGGGATTGCTGCAGGATTTGACAAGAATGGGGAAGCTGTGGATGGACTTTATAAGATGGGCTTTGGTTTTGTTGAGATAGGAAGTGTGACTCCAAAGCCTCAGGAAGGAAACCCCAGGCCCAGAGTCTTCCGCCTCACTGAGGACCAAGCTGTCATTAACAGGTGAGTGACCAGAGTTAACAAGTGATGCCTTCTTTTCAGCTGGGCCTTCAGGGATGTAAATGTGTCTTGGCTTTTCCTGTCATACGATGTGAACATTCTTCTGTTGTTTGGAAAGTTCAGGAACCCTGTTGAACATCTATGTGCAGGCATTTATCCTCACACCAACTTTGGAAAGCAGGTTTTATTATTTCCATTTAACAGGTATATCCATTGAGGTTCAGAGAGCTAACTAATGTAGCCGCAATCATAGAGCTAGTAAGCAGGAGGGGTTGGGTCTGGCTTAGGCTGATGGGACTTTAGAGTTTGTGTTTTGTCCACATTGTTTCTCCTGTGCCCTTACTCAACACTGTCCAATAGAAACAGATTTAAAATGGGTCGGGCACGGTGGCTCACACCTGTAATCTCAGCACTTTGGGAAGCCGAGGCAGGAGAACTGCTTGAGACTAGGAGTTTGAGACCTCGTCTCTACAAAATTAAAAATGGGAAAAAAAGCCAGGTGTGGTAGCATGTGCCTGTAGTCCCAGCTACTCAAGAGGCTGAGGTAGAAGGATCGCCTGAGCCCAGGAGGTAGAGGCTGCAGTGAATCATGATCATACCACTGTACTCCAGTCTGAGCAACACAGACCCCCGACTTAAAAGTTAAAAAAAAAAATAGATTTAAAATATTCTAGTGACCACATTAAAACAGTAAAAAGAAGTAAGTGAAATTGATAAGATAATTATTTATAACTATGATTTAATTATACTTAATATGCTACAAAATTTTAACATATAATCAATATAAAAATTATTAATTAGTTGTTTTTACCTTCTTTCACTTGTCTTCAAAAGCCAGTGTGCATTTTACACCTAGCACCTCTCCATTTGGACCAGTCACATTCTTGGCACTCAGTAGCCACTTGTGGCTAGCAGCTCTTGTATTGAACAGTGTAATTCTAGCCTTTAGCAAACAGGACCGTTTAATATGCAACATATACAGCTGCTTTTAGTAAGAGAAATCCTTCTAGACTGTATAAAACCCTTCTTTCTGTCATTCCTGGGCAGTTTTTACTACAGCAAACCCAGAAGGCCAAGTAGTTCCTACTTTTTGGTTACAGAATTTTGAAGAGCCTCCTTGGGTAGATTTTGATAGGCATCTTTGGGGCTATTAACGGCCTTCTGGGAGACTGACGCACAGGAAGTTTATTTGGCTGCACTTTGTGCTTCATTGTACTTGTTTCAGGGAATTTTTCAGCATTAAGTTATCAGGTTATTGATCTTCCTGCTGCATTGCAGGTGGGGATCAATAGCTTCAGAATTGGCCAGGCAAAATATATTTGCTTATGATTCAGCTGCCACAGGTAGCTGCCGGTACTATAAGTCAACAAATGCATGTGTCACTCTATCTGGTCAACTGCTTTTGGCTCTAAGTACAAAGTGGCTTAAACAACAGACTTTTGTTACTATTTTCTCATAACAGTTGTAGTGGGCAGGCCCAGGGTTTGTTGAGAATGAGGGCAGTGTCCAGACTCTGGCCCAACTTCTCTGGGCCTCCCCTTCTTGTTTATAAGACGGCTGCCTCAGCCTCAAGCATTAGGTCCTCACACAGATGTCCAAGAGCAGAAAGGGAAGGGGGAAACATTCCCAGACACTCCCAGTAGTTGTCACCTGTGTCTCAGTGACCTCACCTGCTCACATGCTGGTGCTACAGTTGCCAGCAAGGCTGGGAAAGGAGTCATTAAGCATATTTTTATCCTGTATTGCAGGAGGTGGATTTTACTAGGTCAGCAACCTATAGTGGGGCTGGGGATGCAGGGATGAAAAGGGAGTGAGGCCCCCGCCATAGGGGAGTGTCTAGTGATAGTGACAGGGCAATAGAGAGGTAAGACATATTGCTTGCCCTCAGTTAAGATTATAACCTAGTACAGGAACTTAAGCATACACACACACCTTATGCCAGCAGAAATATAAGCCCAAAGTGCTCTGTGAATTCCAAGGGGGTGAGGGATCCTGTGCGGCTGGGGGCTCTATGCAGGAGGAGAAGGGAACATTGGAGCTGGGCCAGGAAGAAGGTTGATTTTCACAGGCAGGAGGTCTGAGGAGTGGAGTGGCAGGAGGGGCTCCAGGAGGACTTCGGTGGTGCCCAGGTGCGAGGTGGAAAGCCTGTGGTTATTAGAGAGTAGTGAGGACAGATAGTGGTGAGGACGCTTGGCTGGGTATGGAGGAGTGGAGGGGTGGAGGTGGGATTCAGCAGGTCTGGGACTGTTCCTGCTGAGGAGTCTGGGCTGTTTCCGATGCTAGTTGGCTGCTTGTTTGAAAATTTTAATCTTTCCCTTTGTATTGGCATTCTGGCAAGTTCTCTAGGAGCCCCAGGGATGTTTGGAAGAGTAACAACTGACTCTGATTTTGTTTTCTCTTCTGTTTTTAAGGGTCCCAAGTATGTAGGAAGTGGCCTTGGAGGTACCTCTCCAAATCCTTTTCCCTCTAACCTTGCCCCTCCCTGTCTGCTTGTGTGTTCCAGATACGGATTTAACAGTCAGGGGCTCTCGGTGGTGGAACACAGGTTACGGGCCCGACAGCAGAAGCAGGCCAAGCTCACAGAAGGTAAAGTGGAGTTGCAGTAGGGGGCTTCTTCATTCATGAGGAGGAAATGTGGGAGAAACGCTGGGAATGTTCCTAGTGAAATAAACAGATTGAGCAATAGGAGAAAAAACCACTAAGGAACTCTGGACTCCTCTCTAGAGGAATCTTCCTAGCTCCACACAGCCTCTAAGATTTCAACCCAATCTCACAATTTGGCAAATACTCACTTTGTGTCTGCCTCATCATGTAACTTGTTTTCCCATAAAGAAGCTTGAAAGTAAGCAATGAAAAGCGCTAGGCTGGGACCACAAGGGTAGTTGCTCTGTCATCCTTTGGTCCACTGTATAAGTAATGTATATTATAGAAGAGTAAGTTCAGAGAAGCATAAAGAAAGAAAATTAAGGTAACTCATACTCATACTCCTCCCTACTCATGGAGAGTTAATGTTAGCATTTCAAAAAATATTCTTTTTTTTTTTTTTTTTTTGAGTTGGAGTCTCACTCTGTTGCCCAGGCTCTGTGGCTGCTCCCGGCCACCACAGCCTCGACCTGCTGAGCTCCGGCTATCCTTCTGCCTCTGCCTTCCAAGTGGCCAGAACTACAGGCGCGCGCTACCACGCCTGGCTGATTTTTTGATTTATTGTAGAGATGAGGTCTCGCCAAGTTGCCCAGGTGGGTCTCGAACCCGTGGGCTCAGGCAATCCACTTACCTCAGCCTCCCAAAGGCGCGGGATCACAGGCGGAGCCACTGAGCCCGGCTCAGAAAATATTCTTCATGACTTATTTTGGAAACAGTATGCATGTTTAAAAGCCCCTTTGGAGATGTTGACGTTCCTTCCCTGTGGTTTCCTGCCTTGCTAGCTGAGGATGCACAGGTGGTAGCCCTGTGCTGTCCTGACCATCATGCCCCAGGTGCCCTCTGGGATTGTGTGGTGCTGCTACTCAGTAGGATCACTTTTTTCTTTGGGTGTTTCTAAATTCCTTCTAGGAGGTCTTAGTCTCAATAGATGTGCTGGCAGCATGATGAGGAAATCTGTGGATATCACATTCATTTCAGGAAGTGAGGTGGAAAGGGCCAAGGCATTTAGCAATGTCAGCTTTGGGGAGTAGGAAATAACTTGTTTGCAAACCCCTGCTTTTGTTGGAACCTGACTCTGCTGTACCACACACCTGCCTACCTGGGGAACTTTGAAGGTCATAATAGGACTTTCATGGTTTGTGATACTCTTCTGCCTTCATGCCTTTCTTTTCTTCTTCTTTTTTTGAGTTGGAGTCTCACTCTGTCACCCAGGCTGGTGTGCAGTGGCACACTCACGGCCATCACAGCCTCTACCTGTTGGGTTCAAACGAACCTTCCACCTCAGCCTTCCAAGTAGCTGGAACTACAGGTGTGTGCTACCATGCTTTGCTATTTTTTGATTTTTTGTAGAGATGAGGTCTCGCCAGGTTGCCCAGGCTGGTCTCAACCCCTGGGCTCAGGCGATCTTCTTGCCTTGGCCTACCAAAGTGCTGGGATTACAGGCATGAGCCACTGCGCCTGGCCCCTTTCCTTCTTTTAATTGGTCACAGTGCTCTGTATCCCAGCCTATCCTGTTCTCCCTGGCCCAGCCCCTCCCCCCCAGCCCGGTCCTCACATTCAGTGGAGTGAAGCAGAGCCTTAGCAGTGCTCTGGAAGTTGTGTGTGCCTGCAGCTGGGAGTGTTGAAGGCAGCTTCTTGCTGGCACCATGCTAAGTAACATGAGTTGACAAAAGCTGTGGTGCCCTCTGGGGTCAGAATAATTCAGCAATTTCTAATTCCAAAATCTTGTTAGTTTGGGCAGATGACTATGAATGAAAGATCCATTAACTACATGAAGGCGATATTCTCTTTCAAGCTGGTTTACAAAGCTTGCAAATGGGTGCTAGACTTCGGAAGTTTGGAGACCTGTGATATAGCTTTTTTCTTTTTTTTTTTTTTCATTAATCAGTATTTTTTATTATGGTTTTGTGGGGTACAGTTAAGGGTTAGGTGTACAATGACGTTTCATTCAGGCACCCTGTAAATAAGAAGTGTTTTCCCATCCCCCGACAGTTATTTGCTACTGTTAATCCCATCCCCCTCCCCCCCATAGTTTCCCAGTACCATCCGTCATTTTCTCATAGTATTGCATTGGATGTTCAAGGTCCATTATATGAGTGAAAACATGTGATATTTGGATTTTTGTTTTTGTGAGAGGTCACTCAGTATTATAGACTCTAGTTCCATCCAGGTTGCAGCGAAATTCATGATTTTGTTCTTTTTTATGGCTGCGTAGTATTCCATCGTGTATATGTACCACATTTTTTTAATCCCTTCTAATCTTTTGATGGGCAGCATAGTTGTTTCCAGGTTCTTGCTATTGTGAACAATGCTGCGATAACATACGTGTGCAGGT